ATAAGATAGTAGTAAGCATGTAAACATGAATCGATATACATACTTAATTGTATCACTATCATGCTTCTTACTGATTTTCCATCAATTAAAGCATTTGGCAAGAAGTGAAATACAATGGCGAAGAACGTCAACCAATCTTATATTATTTGATCCATCCTAACAGAATATTGGCAACCAGGAAACATATAGCACCTATTAGGCTCACATTCTATGCAGAGAGGAAGAGTTCCACAATTTCAGAGGGAAAGCTACAATAATATGTTTTCTGAACTACCAAATCTATAAGGGCAGTAGCCAAGTAGGATTAATTACCCCTACACCCGGGTAATTTCCACTTAATTCATTACTGATCTGCCCAAAATTTATGCTTTACTCCAATTTAACTTCAAACATATTCCAAAGTCTGCAAAATCATCCAAAAACAATGAAACACGCTGAATACCACCAAAGTGATAAAACTAAGGATTTCCCGCTAGTTAGCGACAAAAGAAAACCATTTATGTGGAAAATTGGGCCTAAAGCATGCTCAAAATCTTTTCATGTTTACGACTTATCAACTAAAATCAGAATGAACCCAACTACTGATCCACCTGATTGAATCATAATATCATAGCAAATGGCCCTGTTTTTTGTTGTGTTTCAAAGATGGAAAAATAGAAGAAAAATAAACTAACCTATTCCTAATGATTTTCTTCATGAAGCTGAAGTCTATCCTTAAATATACAAAGGCTTAAACAAATTAGAGAGTTTATCCGTACATAACAGAAGAAAATTACTATAAAACCCATAAGAAGAAAAATTGGGGATAAATACATATTTTTTCCACCAAAAGAATGTCTTGGAGGATAGCGAAGGCTTTCAAAAATTTGTTCAAAAATGTGTTGGAGAACTATAATCAAGTAAGGAGAGAAAACATACCAGCGCTGAAGTAAACGTTGACCTGGAGCGAATCGAAGGGCAGGGATTGTCCTGATTTTAGTCATTCGGGAAGAAAAACACTAAAACAATTCCATAAGAAGAAAAATTGGGGAATTATCTTACAATTTCAGTGTGACACCGCACCAGAACGTCCTTGAAATTCAAATTAAGTTTCAAAGTTTGTGTATTTAATTTCCCTATTACCGAACAATTGTAAAACGAGTAATGTTTTACGCAATGCATGATTGATCATACTGCCGTTTGGGCTCGTATAATAGTAATGGACTTCCAAATACTTAATTGGGCCATCTTATTGGATATAGGGGCCCAACATTATTTAAATAAAGATACATAACCCTTCAATACAAAGTAAGAACAGTCGGGCAGCCCAAATGTTACTTTGGGCCCAACCTGCTAAAAATAGTAAGTATTCAAGAAGAGCGTTCTAGGCCCACTAGAGAATGGTCCACACGGCTTGTAGCCCGGGAATATGAATTCAATGGTCACAAATAAGTGAATGTGTTGGTTAGAGAAGAATACAAACTCTTATGGTTCCACCTTAGGCATTATTGAGCTAAGTAATGTGAATAGGGTTTTCTTATATAATTATACATCATATAAATTATTGGGATTACCTTAAACATGTTATAGATCAATATTATGATGTAGATAGTTTACTTGGTCTAAATATATTAGAATGAATACAAAGGGACATCCTATGACAAAAGATAAAACAATAGGACCCATTTTTCCATCTTTGGAAGTATTGGTTGGTATTTTGGGCTCCAAATTGATTGGGAACCACTCCACATGGCTTGAGAACATGCAAAACAAGGAGAATAAGTTATAACACATAAATGGGGCGGACCTATTGAGTTGATATCTCAAACAATACAAAAAGAAATAAAGATGGAGGTCCACCTCATATTTGATTGCAAACCAAATATCTCCCATACTCTCTTGTAAGCCACATGATTTGATAACATGATTGAGGGCTCTTATACACTCCCACAACCCCCCAATACGAACTCCCAAGGATAAGAGAAAAAGGAGCCACACAACTCAAGAGGAAGGAAGAAAAAACTGCCCGCATGTTATTTTTCCAGTGCGTAGGGTGGCTTGTTTGATTCATATCTAGAGCTACAATCATCCAAAAAGGGCGGGTGAGGTGTCTACTGAAATCTATCAAGATAAGGAATCCATAGACGTGCGTTTTGAAGAAAACGGAGTAGTTTAAGGCCTCCAAATCATCGAAGGAAAACGATACCTCGCTGGATACGTTTTTGCATTCATAGTAAGTTTGAACCCAAAATCTTCCTTTTCATTATCTAAATGATATGAACGATTGGTGGAAATATTATACACTAATTGAATTGTATAATATGTTACTTAAGGTTGATATATTGAAGTAAATGTTAGATGCTAACCTAGAACAAACCTCGAAAGGTTAAGAAGCGATTTCGCCGGAAAACACCCATTCTAGGGGCTGTTTTCGTATCATCGGTTAGGAGTTGAGATAGAACCTTTAGGAGTCTGTCTAACTATCATTTATAAGAAATGAATCAGTTCTCAAACTTCCTTGGCCAAATCTTTTAGAATTGGATCGAGAAGGAAAGGTTTAAAGCTCATTTGAGGTGAGGATCGACATCTAGTTGCTTACAACTTGTAGGTTAAGCATGAGATTACCTAAATGTATAGATAACGTTTTTCATGGATTATGATGATTGATTATTGATGAAATATTGATATATTTGATAAGGAATGGAATTGGAAATGATTTGGAATCATATTGATAAAAATGGAGTTGAATGAACTATTATGTAAAATAGGCATTTTTACTCATGTATGAATTGTGTAGATACATAAATGAATATTTATGTATTACATTGGATGCTTAAGTTTCTGATACATATCTCTAAATATGTAGGGACTTAAAAGTAGAATATTTGATTTACAAGAATAATCTTAATAGTATTGAATTACTAGTTAATGATTGTTTGTAATTGTCAAGGAATTGAATTTAAGAATTTGATTGTATGTTATGTGCTTGAATGTGATTCAAGTGACTTAATTGATTTAGTATGAAGTTAATATCATGTTATGGGAAGTCCGTAAGGATGTCCCCGGAATAGATTATTGATATCTCAATTCTAGGCATATGTTTGCTTAGGAATTGAGTCTATGCCATGGCACGGTGATGTACTTGAGTTGGACTCTAGAAGTGCATGGGTAGACAAGGGGTTGTGATTGATGAAATACATGGTGATGTACTTGAGTTGGACTCTAGAAATGCATGGGAGATTTGAGGTTGTAGCCTATGATGTGCATGGTGATGTACTTGAGTTGGACTCTAGAAATGCACGGTGGAGTAATTAACTTGTGTCATATGATTTGCATGGTGATGTACTTGAGTTGGACTCTAGAAATGAAAACATATGTGTTAGGGTTGGACCCTATAAATTGTCGTGACTGGTAGTCACGGGGTATTGGGTTGATGTTTTGTAAACAAACCTTGGTCCTACGGGCCGACTACTTGACTTTATATATAAAGTAAGTATATTTTGAAAATGGGTAACTTGGGGTTAAGACCTAGATTATATTATCACCCTATTTGAGGGTCTTGTGTTTGAAATACTTGTTGTATATTTGTGAGATGTCATCCACACCAGTACTTTATAGCCGTATAGAGTACTGACCCCCTTTCGGAGGGCGTCCCACCACCATTTCAGGTTGAGGCTAAAGCTTTCTTCCTGTGCTCGTTGCTCGGGTGATCATCTTGGAGAGAAGACTTGGTTCGTGGTTCCTCCATTCTGTTTTTGAACATTTATAAACATGCTCATGGATATTTTACGATAGAGCCTGCGTGCTCATGTTTGCCCCGTGTGGCATTTTTTTTCAAACTATGTTTTCCGCTACGTGTTGAATTGCTTATTGTGTATGTTTATGGATGACTTATGTGTGAATGATATTCGAGACACCTTGTATAATATGGATGTGTTAGACTGCGGTTGACTATTCATATTGTACGGCGGGTTGTTGACGTGTCCGGGTAGGTCCGGGGCGTGACATTCAGACCTAATGAGCGTCTTACAATTTCATACCTAATGTAAAAAGGTCAGCGAAGACTTTCAAAAATTTGTTCAAAAAAGTGATGAAGAACTACAATCAAGTAAGAAGAGAAAACATACTTGCGCTGAAGAACTACAATCAAGTAACGAGAGAAAACATACTCGCGCTGAAGAAAGCGGTGACCTGGAGGGTGGAGCGAATCGAAGGGTTAAATATACTCCGAGTGAGGAGATTTTCTCCGACCAGATATATGGGTGGAGGGTGAAGAAAACATACTTATCCTGATTCACGTCTAAACCGAGTGAGGAGATTTTCTCCAACCAAATATATCCCAACATCTTACCTGAATCGTCCCGGTCACAAGCCAAGAAGATTAAAATATTCAAGGAGGAGATTGGACGAATTAACCAGAGGATTTAGCGCACAAAGATGGAGAGGGGTTAAATGGGATAAGGTTTTGGGCGCAGAGAAAGAAGTAGCAGATGCGAGAAAGAAGGAACGAATGAACCAGGGTTTCTTTCGATGTTTTTGTTTTTGTATTTAATTAAAAACAACTCATGAGTGGGCTATTAAAAAATAAAGGGACTCGAGTACATCTTACGAAAAGATTACATTTTAGGACGGTTTATCGTGAACGGACGTAAAAAATTACTTATTAGGACGGTTTATCATGAACTGACGTAAAAATACTTATTAGGATGGTTAATAAAGAAGTGACGTTGAAGGGGTGACGTAGTATGTCATTCCTGTAGTAGTGCAAAAGTAGTGTTATTCCACACTATGAGGTCTCTTTTAAGTCTTTTGAGACATGTATTGCTTCCATTATAACATTAGTCACATTAGCGAGAAAAACGTATTCAAAGGATGAGAGAACTTGATCTTACAAGAAAACTGATGCAACATGACTACATGAGAGGCGGCCAAATTAGCTAAGACAGAGTCGGTAAAAACCAACTGAAGTTTCAACTCAAATAATGATTTGATAACTTCATTTTTTAAATTAAAAAAGGCCACCAAAATTACAAAATCTCATCAATAAAGAATAAATTACAAGAGCATTATCTTATGTGATATGAAACAGAATCTATACATGCATAAACAAGATGATAAAAAGAAGCACACATTCAGATATTTATCACAAGCTATCTAATTGTTGACGAAGAGAGTAAATTGAACCTGACAAATCAAAACACCCAAAAGACCCATTCAACCAGATGTAACAGTGCATGCCTGCAGCACAAAAACCCTAGATGGGACTTCTTTTAGAACTCCCTACCCCCTACAGTAGAAGAGATTGTGTTATCTTCCTTATCCCGCAGAAAACAATTGGGTAATTCAGTGTTCTCTTTTCTTTGTACTCGTCTTTTTGACTTGACTTGATAAAGCTCTTCTGATATAAGCTCTATTATCCCTCTGGTTTGAATGTAAAAAATCTGCAGAATAGTTTGAATCCTTTATGCAGAATACAACTTAAAGAAACTATGAATAAAGAACTCACACTACACAATAAACTGGGGATGAGTCTTGGTAAAAATCTGCAGGAACTTCAGACATTTTCCACCATTAAAGCTCAAAGCAACTTTATAAACCATAAAAGTTTGAATTTTCAAAGCCAACAGAAATAAAAAGCATAAAGCTCAAAATGAACTTACATGAAGTGCAAGAATTGCTGAGGTGTGTGTAAGCTGAAGGCAACTTCCAGCTAGAATCACTAAGTTAACTAAATGCATATACACACAACAACTACTTATGGTGAATATATTGAAGGGTTTCAAAGTGCCTGGATCTCCGGAAGAGACATAGCCCCTGAAATTAAATTAAAGCAAGACTATTTCACAAGTTTGTTTTGTATATTTTTTATATAGACACAAATAAACCTTTGAAAAGAACGAACACAAAGTAAATCAAAACGGAAGTACCTATTATAGAGCTCAAAAAAGAATTGAGGAATATTGATTCAACATCTAGATTAGAAGAGAAAAAGATAAGCGTTTCTTACTTAGTACGCAATATAATATTAGAACTCAAAACAATTGTGTATCTGAAACGATGTCTCTATAAACACAAAGGAATAATATAAATTGGGAAACAGTAATTGAAAAATAAATGAGATAAATTACTAAACCAGTTTTCTGGGGGGTTTAAATCAAATCATTTTGGCCTATTCATGGGATTAGATATGTAATGGTCGGTTCGTATATAATATATACATAATACATATTCTTCCTGAAATTATCTTAAAATAAATACAAGGCTTCAAAGATCATTCTAACAATGTATACAGAGAAATAAAGCGTATCTCATGTCAAAGATTAAATCCAAATAAAATTGATCATACAAAAACAAATGTACTTGGTTTAGGCTTACCTTGACAAAAAAAATAGAAATCCGTGTAGCTTGAAGCCTGCAATGGTATTAACAAATAGATGGTCATCTAAGGACATGTTTTCTGCCGCCAAACCTCAGAAATACAGGGCATAAAACCCCACAAAAAACACAGGCTTAGCAACTCTACTCAATAATGAAACATAATAGAAAGAAAAGAGAAGGAAAATAGGAAAAGTCAAAGCTAACAGTATCACATGAGAGGGGCAAAATAGGAGAAATCAAAGTTAACCGAATCATATGAGAGGGGATGATTATCGGGGCAGCATAGTACACGATCGACATTGGCGGCTCCTTCAGCGAAAGATTTCTGCAAATTGACATTGGGGGCGGCTCTCTCGGAAAATGATTTCACAATGGGTTGTGACCTGCGAAACCTAGCTTTTGAAAACCGGGGAAAAAGAATGAGAGGAGGGGAGCAGACCACGGTTATCAAACAGAGCCAAATACCGTGAGGTCAATTGCGGGTACTGTGCACACAGTAAAAAGGTCATGCTAACTTCCTTACAGGCTTTATATTTTTAGTATATATATATATATATATATATATATATATATATATATATATATATATATATTAAAAAGAGTAATTGAAACGATGTCTCTATTAAAAAGCACGATGTTTCCCATTTTTCATATATATATATATATATATATATATATATATATATATATATATATATATATATATATATATATATATATATATATATATATATATATATATATATATATATATATATATATATATATATATATATATATATATATGTGTGTGTGTGTGTGTGTGTACTTTTTTAATAGATAGTCAAGTATCCATTAAAATAAATTTGTATGCATTTCAATAAATTTGTAGCTTTCACAATGTGTATCTGTTGGCAACATCTCGTGCTAGGCCATACATTTGGTTTTATATTATTTATTTAATTATTTATTATTAATTTTTATCTATGTATGTATATATGTACTTTTAAAACTACATTAGTTATTACTGAAAATTTAAGAATATTCATGTTGGGATAATGGGCCTGGCACAGTGCCATCAGCCCGATATCCCCGAGCTTAGGCCCAACTAGGCCCAAGACGTGGTCTCACGAGCCGGAATCGCCCCTTGCTCATTTACTTATTTATCGGGCCAGTTCTCCCATTAGCTAGGGGATGTATTATTAAGTTGGGCCAAGCCCACGTAGATTAGATTTTGGGCTTATGATGGATGTCTATAAATAGGCCATCACTTTTGCTATACTGAAGTGCTGGCGCTTTCTCTCGAGCTATTTTCTACTAGGGGTGGACTCGGGTCGGGCCAACCGGCCCGGAACCGGACCGGCCCGCCACTGTGCGGGCCCGGACCGGCCCGGGAACCGGTTCGTTGGGCGGTTCGGGCCACCCGGCCCGGTGGATTCTCGGTTCGGGCTCGGGCCCTTCAAAAGGTGAACCGGCCCGGCCGGTTCGGGCCCGGGCCGGGCCAATTTTAATTTTTTTTTGAAATTTTTTTGAGTTTTTGGGTTGGGCTGGTTATTTTGGGCCATTTGAGGTGGTTAGGGTTGGTTTGGGGGTGAGGGGGAGGGGTGGGGGTTAACTAGGAGAAGCCCAAAAAAAAAAATACCCGAGGCCCGGCCCGGCCCGGCCCGGACCCGGGGGTTACCCGGGTCGGTTCCGGGCCTCCCCTTCTTGAACCGAGGCCCGGCCGGGCCCGAACCGGCCCGAGTCCACTCCTATTTTCTACCAACATTGGTGCTTTCATTGAGAGCCGTCTCTCATTCTTTCGGTAGAAGCTTCGGAGAGGAAAATGGCAGGAGCAACAAGGCAAGAATGAGTTTACGTCCACACCGAGCACTCGGAGCAGCCCAACGGCCGTCGCATGAGAAGCACAGTGGTGAGGCCGATGGGGGACTTGAGGAACAGCTTGTCGAGCCCCGGAGACTTGTGAGATTCGTTGGGCCAGAATCGTGGGAGGCGATCCGTCCATGAACTTCTTGGAGGCGGGCGTAATACTGTTCCGCGCTGGAACCTGACGCCGCTCGATGCTGGAGTGCAGGTACTCCGGGAAGCCACTCGTGCTATTGAGGATTTGGCTCGGGGATTTCAGAGATTAATCCTGCAAGAGACGGAGCATGGGCGTTCAAGTCATATCACCCATACGGACTTGGAGGCATCCTCCGGGCGGTATCGTGGGGGACGCACCAGCACAGACGGATCCCGGAGGGAGTTGTCCTGGCAAGTCGAGCAGTCACGGCGGCCCGGAAGGAGGCCTTCACGGGAACGCTCGTTCCGTGAAGAAGGGGACGTTTCGCATTACAACTCCCGTCAACCAAGCAGGCGGGCTGGCTCCCTGGGCGGACGTAATGCTGGATCCGGTCCCCACATAGGTGAAAGGATTGTGGAGTCGTCCGCGCAGGTTCAGCCCCGAGCTAGACGCGCACGCGCGGAACCGGAACCCGATGCGGTAGAAGATCTAAGGCTAAGACTGGACGAGCTGAGGAGAAGGGTCGTCGGGGGAGAGCCATACGTGGCTGACCTCCACATCCCGGAATCATTTACTCGTGCAGTCATGGAAGCGCCGCTGCCGAGGGGATACAAACCTTGCGATGTGGAGACTTACAATGGCACTTCGGACCCGCAGCACCATATATCACGATATCTATCGGATATGGTCATGATGGGGTATGAAGACGCCATACGATGACGGGGATTCGCATCCACGCTAGACGGGCCAGCTCAGGAATGGTATGACACGCTACCTGACGGAAGCATCAGGAACTTCCAGGAGCTGGCCAGGCATTTCCTTCTAAGGTTCGCTGGTTCCCGGGACGTGAAGAAGAATTTCAGTCACCTGTTCAGCCTGAAGCAGGGAAAGAAGGAGGCGTTATCTGCTTTCTTGGCGAGTTGGAGAGCGGAGTCAGCCAAGGTCCAGGTCCTTGACGACAGGACCGGGGTGGCCATGCTAACGAATTCCATCCAGTTGGGGGAGCTCTACAAGGATTTTTTTAGAAATCCACCATCTTTGTATGAGGAAGTCCTAAGGCGTGCAGACCGCCAGGCCGAGGCAGAAGACGCCGAGCAAAGGAAGAAGGATGAAGAAGAGGGAAGGAGGAAAGGCACAGAGAAACGCGACGACCCGGAAGACGAGAACACCGATGCGAAGGCTGGCGGTAAGGGCGGAAAGTTCAAAGGTAAGAAGAACAAAAGCAAGGGAAAGACTGATGTCCACTCTTATCAACCAAACACCTAATGCCTTTAGCCCAGCCAGTCGGGACGATTCTGGACTATGCAGAAGAGCAGGGCCTGGTAGCCTTCTCTGAGGAGTGTGACGTGGTAACCGCCAAGCGGAACACTGACCAGTACTGCAGATTCCACAAGAATTTCGGGCATGACACAGACGAATGCATTTTCCTCCGAAGGCGGATCGAGGCACTCATCAAACAAGGGTACTTGGGCCAGTTCGTAGGAAAGCAAGGAAACAACCAGCAGAGGAAAACTCTAACGTGGAAGCGACCCGACCAGACTACCGCATCCAAAGAGAAGCAGCCCGTGGACCAATCCTCGAAGAAGCTCGAGCTCGGAGCTTTGTCCGACGATGACGAGTATGACCTGGAAGGAGGACCCCATAAGCACCACAGGTGTTCCTACATCATTGGTGGCCCTCAAGGAGGTGACACCTCGGGCGAGAGGAAGCAGTGGGATCGATCCTTATACGTCGGGGAGATTACTCGGATGCCCGCAGAGAAGAGGATGAAGAGGGACCCAATCTATTTCACCGATGTTGACTCACCACCTATGCCGCCGCCGCATAAGGATGCCCTGGTTATCAAGGTGGAAATTAATAATACTATCGTTCACCAAGTTTTGGTAGACAAGGGAAGTTCAGTGAATGTAATGTATTATGACACGTTCCAGGGCCTTGGCTTAAGTAAAACTGTTTTTAGCCCCGTTAAAACACCGCTCTCGGGATTTACCCGGGACTCAATCGAGTCAGAGGGCAGCATGGTGCTTCCTGTGATGGTTGGCTCCGAGCCTTGCATAGCCAGGTAGAACGTCGAGTTCATAGTAGTACGTTTGACTTGCGTGCACAAGATCATCATGGGGAGGCCCGCGTTAGAGGATTTGAAGTGCATTATCTCCCAGGAACACCTATGCATGAAGTTACCTACCCCGAACGGGGTTGGGGTAGCCCGGTGAGATCAAAGGTTGGCACGGAGCTGTTACGTGAAGGCATGCAAGTAGCTCGGGCAGAAGGACCTTAGGTTCCACACTATCAACAATAAGGCTATGAAGTACGAGGAGGGTCAGCTCCGCGCTGAACCCACCTCCGAAGTTGAAGAGGTTCAAATCGATCCCAAACACCCGGACCAAAGAATAAAGATCAGTGTGGGGCTCCCAATCGAACTCGGAAAGAAGATCATCCAAGTTCTAATCACGTTCAGTATGTTCTTTGCATGGGGACCTGAAGATATGCCGGGATTGGATAGGAGAGTGGCCGTCAACGGGCTAGCAGTTGATCCGACAGTGAAGCCGGTCCAGCAGAAGAGGAGGCACCTCTCAGTTGAACGAAGGGAGTTCGTGAAGAAGGAGATTGCCATGCTCTTAGCCATCAAACACATCAAGGATGTATTGTACCCGGAGTGGCTGGCAAACGTGGTCCTTGCACCGAAGCTGCCGACTTGGAGGATGTGTGTCGGTTACACGGATCTCAATAAGGCGTGCCCAATGGACCCCTTTCCTCTACCTAACATTGACCAACTAGTTGACGGGGTGGCCGGGTGCGAGCTCCTCAGCTTGATGGACGTGTTCCGGGGGTATCATCAGATATTCATGCATGAAGATGATGCGGAGAAGACCTCGTTCATTACCCCGGAAGGAGTCTTCTGCTATTTAGTCATGGCTTTTGGCCTGAAGAACTCTGGGGCAACGTATACAAGGATGGTCGCAAAGGTGTTCCGAACCGTGCTGGGAAGGAACATGGAAGCGTACGTTGACGATATGATCGTCAAGAGCACTCGGGCGACAGACCACGCAGACGACCTGGAAGAAATCTTCAGAATCATGAAGTCAGTCCAGCTACGCTTGAACCCGAAGAAATGTACCTTTGCCGTCCAGGGAGGCGATTCCTGGGATACATGGTCACGTAGAGGGGGATTGATACAAATCCCGAGAAGGTAAGAGCGATACTTGACATGGAGCCCCCGAGATCGGTGAAGGAAGTCCAGGTTCACACCGGCCGGCTAGCAGCCCTCGGACGCTTCATGTCTAAGTCTGCCGAGAAATCTCTACCTTTCTTCCAGGTCTTGAAGAAGCAGAATGGATTTATGTGGACTGACGAGTTCCAAAGAGCCTTTGAAGATTTGAAGAAGTACCTCCTCTCTGAACCTTTACTCAGCAAGCCGGAGAGGGGAGAGACATTGATCCTATACCTCGGAATTTCTCAAGGCGCGATCAGCTCCGTGCTGGTTCGCGAAGAGGATGGCGTTAAACATCCAGTCTATT